GTTTCTTAGGTAGGAAGAGCCAGTACTTTGTTAGGTAACCAAAGTCTTCCTGGGCACTTTTTTAGCCCAAAAACCTACAGGCGGGGCAGCAGAGATAGTGTCGCTAAGAGCGGCTGGGAAGTGCTAATAGGAGGAACCCAACTAAGCCAGTGATGGCGAACCTTTTAGAGACCGAGTGCCCCCAAAACACCCAGCCCCCACTGTCCCCCTGCCCTGCCCCATCCCACCCACAGGATCACCCACTGCCTGAACAACCTGCCATAGCAGATAGGCCAGGAAACCCAGCAGTGTCATGGCAGCCAATCCCTCAGCCCGCACCCTGCAGCATCATCTATGCGTGACAGGGCGTGAGGGTGGAGTCTTGTCCCTGCTGCCATGTGGTTGACTGCGCTGCTCCATGCGGGCTTTGCCTGGAGGTGGCTCTCCTCGGGGGGGCTGCTGGTGAGAAGGGGGCCATGGGGGGAGGCAGGGCTGGGGTGACAGCGCACGTGCCCACAGAGAGGGCTCTGAGTGCCGCCTCTGGCATGCATGCCATAGGTTCGCCACTACTGGACTAAGCTGATTGAACCACACATTGTAAGGGGAACATGGGTAGCTGCAGTTTGAGAGTTGGAATTAGGACACTCATTATAGATTTGCTCGAGGTGTGGGACAAGAGGCGAGTGCCCGTCCTGGATAGCATGAAGAAAAAGTGAGCAAGAAAAATTTGTGAAGAAGGCTTTGCTAGGGCTTTGCTGGGAAATTTGGCTAAATAAAGGTACTTAAAGGGAAAATAAGAAATAAGAAATAGTGATTCATTCTCTCTCTCTCTCTCTCTCTCTCTGTGTGTGTGTGTGTGTGTGTGTATCTAGAATGCTGTATGTTACACCCTGTTGACCCAAATATGGGAGAGAGAAATCTTTTGCCTTGTATCAGCTCAAACTAGAGCCATCTACAGGCAGCAGTCACAACTGTGACATCATATACATTTCTAAAATTTGGATTGCTAGCAAAGAATTAAGGGAGAACTGGAATAGCTATTTCGAACTCTTTAGTTCTTTTCAACCAGACATACCCTTCTGAGATTCGAACCTGGGCTGTCCACATGTTAGGCAGCTGTATTAAACCTCTAGGCCACAGGCTCTTTCTCACTTTTGCCAGCTGTGTTAGGGAGGGAAGAAACAGGGGAGGAGTTATCTAGAATGCTGCATGTTACACCCTGTTGACCCAAATATGGGAGAGAGAAATCTCTAAAGAGTTCGAAATAGCTATTCCAGTTCTCTCTTAATTCTTTGCTAGCAATCCAAATTTTAGAAATATATATGATGTCACAGTTGTGACTGCTGCCTGTGGATGGTTCCAGTTTGAGCTGATACAAGGCAAAAGATTTCTCTCTCCCATATTTGGGTCAACAGGGTGTAACATACAGCATTCTAGATAACTCCTCCCGTTTCTTCCCTCCCTAACACAGCTGGCAAAAGTGAGAAAGAGCCTGTGGCCTAGAGGTTTAATACAGCTGCCTAACATGCAGACAGCCCAGGTTCGAATCTCAGAAGGGTATGTCTGGTTGAAAAGAACTAAAGAGTTCGAAATAGCTATTCCAGTTCTCCCTTAATTCTTTGCTAGCAATCCAAAATTTATATATATATATGCGCAACCATGTGGTATGTTTAAAATGTGTGCCTTCCCTAACTTAAGGTATTTGAGATTTATGGTGGGAATGACTAGGATGTGTAAAACTAAGACTTCTGTTTCCTTTTCTGTTCTCTTGTCTCTGTGTATATATGTTTGTCAAAGTCTTTGTGTGTGAGGTAAATGTGACTGTTAACTGTTTCAAATCTAAAGAGAAAAGAATTTTAAATGCTAGAAATTTTGCTTAAAATAAGCCACAAAAAGGAAATACCTCTCTGTTTGTCTGGCTAACAAACAGAGTGAAGAAAAATGTGTTTGTTTGTTTGTTTGTTTTCTCCCCCCCCCCTACTCTTAAGAACAGCCCAAAGTTACCAGGAGGGGATGTTTTAAGTTCATCTGCTGGAAAAGTTTCACTTGCATTTACTGTATGTGTTTTATCTAACTATCCTTTTCCTGAAAAATGTTTGTCTAGCTACAAGAGCCTCCTGAAGCTCAAATTTGCTTGTGTGAAGAAGTACTCTTCTTAAGTTACTTTTCTTATCCTATCATTAATTGGTGAAACTACTATGAAGCTAATCCTGGAACATATAAGCATTATTCAATCTCTAAAATAATGTGGTCTATTTTAGAATAAATGTTAAAGGTAAATTCTCCTGCCCCTGGAAAATTACACACCTTAAAATATTAGGCTTTTAAGATTATTTGGAGCTTTCAGCATTCTCAAACTGGCTAGCATTTTTTTTCAAGTTGCAAGTCCTTAAGTCTTTAACATGTTACAAATGTTCAGTTCAGAAATGAGACCTTTAGTAATAGTAATAGTAGTAAAGTTGGAAGGGACCTTGGAGGTCATCTAGTCCAACCCCCTGCTCAGGCAGGAAACCCTACATCATTTCGGACCAGAATCCAGCCTTTCTTTTGTCCTCATCTGAGATGTCCTCATTTTGTCTGCCTATCTGTTTCTTTAACAACTGCAGTATTAATGCCTTTTCAAACTCTGCCTGCAAGCTACCCCCCACCCATGTATTTCTCTTTTTCTTATCTCTGTTCTCTATGCCTTTGTCTGCCTCTCCTGGGAGAGTCCACCCAGAAAGGGAGGAGCAGTTCTTGTTCTCATGTCTTTCAGCCCTGCATAGATGACCCCGCCCAACCTTTGGAAGCAAAGCACACTGACCCAGATGCTGCCTCCATCCATTTGAGCCATGAAATTGGGTTTTGAATCCAGCCATCCCAAAAAAAAGCCACCATGCAACCTGAGTGGAACAGATCTTCCCAAGTCCTACCATTCCCCCAGATGCCTGTAAAAGCTGCAGAAGAATGAAGGAATCCTGGAGCCATTGGTCCCCACGTGAAGCCTCAGAAGAAAATTAGGAAGACTATGGGAGGAGGGTGGAAACTCATTGTAAAGTTTTCTTTGTTCCCCCAATTATATTGTAACTAGCCAGTTGCATGTATTTATGGAGTGATGACATTTGGGAATAGTTGGCACAGCAAGTACTGAACACCTTGGGACTTCTGTCTGGTGGGAGGGAAAATTTATCCAGAATGTTTATATTGCGTTTGTATTAGTAGTTGCACACACACACACACACACACACACACACACACACAAACACACACAGAGACACACACTGCACACACTGAATCTCTTCCACCTACCTTCAGTAAAGTTCCCCAGGCTGATTTTTGCTCTATTGCACCAAAACTTTGCACGCACAAATTCCAAGGGGGAAGGAACCAGGCCCCTTCAGGCAATTTGCAATTCATATGCCCTGATTGAGGAAGTAGCATGAAACAGAACTCCAAACCTAAGCCCTGAATATCTTGCACTGGTGGACTCAGTTTGGGCGTCCTAGGGCTCATTATGTGCAATTTAAGAAAAAAATGTAATAGCCTGGCTTGCATACTGGCTAACCTCAATTGGACATTACAAACCTGGATGCACTGAACTAAGAGCTAAGACAGGAAACAACCCTTGAAAATGGACAGCCAGTGGTTATGTACTGAGGCAAACCATGGCTGTGAAGAATTTTGGGAGAAATGCGCAAACCTGACTGGAAGCTAAAAATGACATCCAATATTTGAAAATGATTGGCACAGAATATTGGAAACTATAAATTTCTTTTCCACCTAACAAAATTTTTGCCAACTTTTAGAACTTTATAGGTTGGAAGCTCCCCTTTTGGGAGCAGGGATCTTTTTCTGCTTGTCTCCGTTAGTGTCTTTTTGTTTTTTTGGCTTAACAGTTTAAAGCTGGTTTACCAAGTCTCCCTGATCAAACAAATTTTAATCTTGTGCCAGTAAGTGTGCATTCACACACTTATGGCACAAAGGGGGGATTGAAGGAAGTCAGCTCCCCAGAGAAGGAAATATTAAAAGGACAGAAAAATATATTTCCTCAAAAGGATTTTAAAAGCAGAAACCAATCCTGCCCCCAAGTCTCTCTGTCCCAAGAAGAAGCCAGCCCTGTACAAATGCAGACGTAAACCATCAGAAAGGCCCCAGCTAGGAGATCAAGAAGACAAAGACACCTAAATTCTGCATACCCCACCCAAACTCTAGGAGTCATTAGCCCCAGCACCAGGGAAGCAGGACATGATAATAGGACTAACCCACCACCATCAACAATACCAGTAATGCACACCCAGACTCAGGTCAGAATATGTGACACAGGAAATACAAAGCCTAAAACAGGAACAGGAAACTATTCCAAACAAAAGTCTTCAGTGGGTATAAAAACCTACTTCCCACATTCTTTTCTCTCCTGTTTTCTGCCAGAACCATCTTTCTGTCTGGCTCTTCAATAAACTGCAACCTTCTTCCCAAAGCAGTCACCATGTTGTTTATTTATCCCCGGCTTGGATGAACCAGGATGAAGACTTTTCTTTCCACAGTACCATCAGAATCTAAGACAAGATGCTAGCATAACCTCCAAGCTTTGCCCAGAAATGTCACATATGTCATCTCTTGGTTTTCCTTTCCAAAAGATTGGAGTCGCGGATATATAATGTATATAAGTTCTGCTGAGCATAGTCATCACTGTTTTTCAAACAAACATTTACAGGAGGTTGGTGTAACTTTTTGGACTCCCTCTTTTCTCTCCAACTCATTCATTCTGTCCCCTGATCGGGAGTGTTACCTCTTTTTGCTCTTGAGGTGAGTTGAATCACCTCCCTCACAGCGCTGTTAAAGCACGAATATTGCTCGAGGAACTGCACCTAAATCGTCGTTTGGTCTGCCAGGGGAAAGACTCTCGCCTGACTTTTTCCAGAAAAGACGGCCACTGTAACAGCCCCTCTGCCCGGAGAACTCCTCCAATCAACCATCCCCTGACCGCAGCGGTCTCTTCGAGCAGTACTGGAGGAGCTCGCAAGGAGGCTCTGTGGGCAGCGCGAGAAGACGCGACTTCTTCGAAAGCGACTTCCGTGCGCTGCCCTTTTCATCGGCCCCACGTGGAAGCCGGAGCTTTTCCATTCCGGAAGAAGCCGCTTGTTGCAGTCACGTCTGTTGGAAGTGGGGAGTTGCGTGTTATATAGCACCGCATGCTCAGGTACCGGAGGAAGGGCATGGGGCAGTAATTTGTAGAGGAGCTGCTGCATTTCGAGGCCAGGTCCCTGTCATAAGTCTCCGGGTTTTCAACTTATGATCATTTTATGAACAAGTCCGACCGGTGATCTTGGCAACAGCACGGCGGAGGTTTCTTCGTCTGGGATGTCGGTTCAACTCTTTAGGCTAACCCACAGCTGTGGTATTTCCTGCCCAAAGACTGACTAGATCTGACACATTCGCCCATTAGAATAAGACCAACTTGGTGGCCATGGCTGATCTTGAAAAGATAGCAGGAGTCCTTGGATGTGGGACACCCAGGAAACCTCTCACATTTAACATTTTTATCCTAAATAATGACATTATTTTAACTAGACTGCTTCAGAACGGCCACAATTTAGAGGAACAAATGAGCACTGGTCGCTCATTGGAAGACTTCTTATAGATTGCCTCTGCTATGGGGGAAGTTCAGGAGTATTTGTACAAAGTTTTGTATTTCTAGGATCCTATGTAATTTTGGAAAGCAGGAAAATATTATTTGGAAGTAAGGACCCATCAATGGAAATTTGTTTACAAACTGTGCTCAAATCTGTTTTAAACAAAGATGGAAATTGCTTTTGAGCAGTGTTTCTGAAGAAATATATTTTTGACCTTATGCACAAATAGGAGATACTCCCATTGTAGTTGGCTTTTTGGGGAGCCACAAGTATATATTTCAAGCTCATGTTTACACAAGCCTAATAGCTTGTTCTGTTTTGTCATACTGGTCTTATGCATTATTTTTCCATTTATAGAAGCAAACCAATGGCAAAAAGCCTAAGAAGCAAATGGAAGAGAAAAATGCGAGCAGAGAAGAGAAAGAAAAATGCTCCCAAGGAACTGGCCAGATTGCAGAGCATTCTGAAAACCAGCAATGATGTTGTAATGGATGAAGTGAAGGAAGTAGTAACTGTAGTTCCTGCTGAGAAAATCTTAGAGAAAAAGAATTCAGATGGTGAATCATATTTAGGTATGGCTGTAAAGTAACGTTTCCCAGTCTGGGCAACTTGGAGATGTGTGTCTCTAATTCTAGAATTTTCTATCCAGCATAGATATTGCTGAGAATTGTGGAGTTAATGCATAGATCTAGAAGTTGCTTAGACTGGGAGACATTATTCTAAGATTTGTAACAAACAGACTCTGAAAAATTGGAATCATAGTACTTTATATCTCTCACCTGATACTGGTGCTGCTTTTTCTCATATTTTCCTTGGCTATGTAAATTTTCCCTTTAAAAAAATTAATCTAATACCATCATATAGATGAGACTGCTTTTGTGAGTTGACAGAGATGTTTTTCCATTAACCAGGTGGCATAGTTAGTGCACAAATAGGCTATATTATGTGTCTACCTTATTTATCCAGTGAATATCTCCTAGCAAAAGTTAGGCTAACAGAAATTCTGAGAGTTGAAGAACAATGCTGTTAATGAGAATAAGGTGGAAGAAGTTTATGAGGATCACCTGTGGAATTGGTGCCTATTCTTTTGAAGATCGTGAAAAGCAAAGAGGGAACCATTGTAAATTATAATCAGAATGATGTTTTCATTTGGCTGTTTCTCTTATTGAATCTCTTTTTTTCTAAGAAAGACTCCTAACTAAAAAATTTGAAACTGTTTTTAAAAACCATCATAGGGCAAGCATACATGCACTCTTAGTCCCTCCTTCATTTCTTAGTTCTTCACTCTATCAGTATTAGAATAATTTATGCTACTATTTTGTTCTTACGGTTTCTTTTTTATTCATTTTAACTTTACTATTTTGAAGTGATAATAGTAATTTGCTTCTTTATGTGTTTTTTTCCCTAGATGGAAATAAGATGGACATGGATGTCAAAAGAAATCAGAAAACTCTTCTAGATCAACATGGACAATATCCAGTATGGATGAATCCCAGGCAGAGAAAAAAGCTAAAGGCAAAACGCGTCAAAGGGAAAAATAAATCTAAAACACCAAAAGGATTAACCTGGTAGACTCTGGTAAATGTTAAGAAATAAAAGGGGGGTGGGGGGAAGAACTTAATGATTTATGTCATCAGTCCTAAGGGGCAAATTTCTTTTTTCTTGTTTCAGATGTTCAGATTAATTTAATAAAGTTCCAATTATCTATGTACAAACTGGGCTATAATTAAGCTAAACATAGGTACCATTCAATGGCAACCAAATTTCCATCAAATACTTTAAAATTTAATTGCCTTAGCTTTCCAGAAAAGCAGATGTGTTAGTCAGGTGTAGCAAAATAAGAGCTGAGTCTTCAGAGTCTTAACAACAAGAATCCTTTTATAAAGTAAGATTTCATGGATCGTTGTTTGTTCCCTAATAAATCTTTAATGGGCCACAAGATTCTTGCTCATTCATTTCAGTGAAACTTGGCTCCAGCTGATTGTTGAATTATTCTCAACAGAACTAAGTACTTCAGTTTTGAACTTACTGTAACAATTTCAAATGTATCTGGCAGAAATAAATTTATTTTGTTCTCATTTCTCATTCTTAAATATCTTTTCAAATCTGTTAATATTTAATTTAATATCTAATATAAAGCCAAAGCTAACATTTAGGGCATTGAAGTGTTAATAATAAATAGCTTTGGAATGCCACTGGTTTGTGTAATGTATATAGTATGGCCAAATAAGTATATGTCTGCAAGTTCTGTTTTGTTCTGGCCTAGTATGACAATAATGGATACATCTGGATCTTTATTTTTCCTTTCAAAAGAATAAGATTAAGTATAACCCATGCATTCTTTCCTGAAGGGAAGTCCTTGGAGAAATAGTGTATTTTTGAGCAGAGTTGCATAGGACTATTTTGTAACATTATAGTTCTGTACAAATGTACAGGTGGGGGTAAGATCTAATCAACTTAGCTGGAATTACAAATAAGCTTAATATTGGACTATAAAATATTCAGATTTTAAAGGAGAGATTTCAGATTTTCTTAGTATTAATATTACTATTAATTTTGAAAAATTGAATGTAATGTGAAATGTAATTGAGTTTTATTACATTATGGAATGGCTCTGTTTCTGTATAAACAATAGTTTCTGAAATATGTTTTATGCTTACAGTTAGCTATATAAATAGAACTAAAGAATGTTTTATAAAACTCTTCTAAAATCCCTCCAAATATAGAGCAGGGAGGACCTAAAGCTGTTGAATATAGTATGATTGGCATCATTCAACTGTTTTTGGCTACATGGGGATATTTTTCACATTATTATATTTTATTAGTCAAATTTATATGGCTGCCCATCTCACTGAATTGACACTGGGCAGCACACAATAAATAATATAAAAACAAAGAATGCAAATTTTAAAAAACCCTAGTAATAAATATCTTTAAAAAACCCAAAATTCAATAAGGTAGTCCTTAACTTAATGATCACAATTGGGCCCAAAAATTTTTTTGCTAAGCGAGACAGTTAAGTGAATTTTGCCCCATTTTACTACCATTCTTGCCATGGTTATTAAGTGAATTTGGCTTTCCCACTGACTTTGTCAGAAGATTGTAAAAGATGATCACATAAACATGGGACATTGCAACCATCATAAATATGAATCAGTTGCCAAGTCTCTGTATTTTGATCACATGAAAACAAAAGTGGTAAATGTAAAAAATGGTCATAAGTAATTTTTTTCCAGTGCCATTGTAACTTTGAACAGTCACTAGATGAACTGTTGTAAATTTTCTTATATCTCAAAACAAACAATCTTACTCATAAATAATCAAAAATCGCCATGACTTCCATTTAAATCAAGAGTACTCCTTGTCTCTTAGATCAAGTACCACGCTAGGGAAAGAGTGGCATGTTGAGGGATGCTCTTAAAAATGAGCAATCAGTAGTAAGCCCCATTTCTTATTTAAAAATGTATAGGACAGGGCTTTTCAACCAGTGGTACGGGTACCACCTGTGGTACATTGGCATCTGGCAGGTGGTACACGACCTTCCTAGAAAAGTGGTAGCAGGGGAGGGGAATGAGCTGAACCGGTGGCAGCACTGCACAAGCCTGAGGGAGAGATGGCTGGAGCTGCAGGGCTGTCAGGGCTCAGTGGAAGCGCCAGGATCAGCGCCAGGCTCCAGCTGAAGCTTGGTGCTGATCCTGGTGCTTCTGCTGAGCCCTGAAAAACACCAATCAGTTGGAAAGCAGCACTGATCCTGGTGCTTCTACTGAGCCCAGAAGAATTGCCGATCAGCTGGAATGTTGCAGCATCTCCAGGGTCTTGTGATTTACATTCAGATGCTTGGCAACTGATTCATATTTATGACGGTCACAGTGTCCCAGGGTCATGTGAAGTGACCAAACCTGCTGCAACCACCCAGCAGATGGGGGTAATAAAAACCAAACACCCCCTCAACCCCACCCCCGCTGCCAATCCTCAACAGAAATGCTCACAACAATGAAAACCTCAGACAGAAGAAAGAGCGCCGCCAGGTGGGCAGGCAGGTGTCTTGCTCGGCTGTGGCTTGGGGGGCACTTTTTTCAGTGCCATTGTAACTTCAAACAGTCACTAAGCGAACTGTTGTAACCTGCACTTTATCACTTTTTTCTTTCTTTTTTTTTTTGATCATCAAGTTTTTGACACCTTGCTAGGCGACTGGTGGTACTCAGATGTTGCCATATCCTAAAAGTGGTACAATGAGTGAAAAGGTTGAAAAGCCCTGGTATAGAAGATAGAGCTGAAAAAAAGTGCTTCCACTTCCATAACTTTAAGTAGAGCTGTTTTAAAATATGAAACAAAATAATTATTGATATACCTCTTTTGATACCTGCACGTACTTTGTGTAACCATCACCATTCACTACACATTACTGGTAATGATGCAGATATTTCTGAAAGTAATTAATAAAGAAGTCCACAGATAATCTGTTCAACCAGATCTTGACAATCCTTTCCACCTTTTTATTTGAGTCAAACAGATGTCCCTAAAGACATTCCTTCAATTTGGGGAAAAGTAGAAGTTGTATGGCGCCATATCTGGATTGTATAGTGTATGTGGTCAGATAATAATAATAATAAAGTTGGAAGGGACCTTGGAGGTCATCTAGTCCAACCCCCTGCTCAGGCAGGAAACCCTATACCAGTGATGGTGAACCTTTTAGAGATCGAGTACCTAAGCCGCAACCCAAAACCCACTTATTTATTGCAAAGTGCCAGGGCCGCATCAGCACTGTGGTGCCCTCGGGGTGGGGGTGGGCGTGGCACACTGGATGGGTGTGGCTGCGGTGGTCACGGCAGATTGAGTGGGCGTGGCTAGGATGGGGATGGCCACCTTGATGTTGCTCGTGGGGGGACGCCTGTGGGGGCTGGGCAGGATTGGGGGAGATCCAGGGGGTCTCTGGTGGGTGGGGCGGTGGGCAGGAGGCTCATCCTGCGGGATGAGGCAGGGGGTAGGGCGAGGGTGTCATTGCTGCAGGGCAAGGTGAGGCAGGGGCGGCTGCTGCCTGACACCATCAGCCCCCACACACAGAGGCCAGCGAGCACAGGAGGCGCGCTCTATCACCTCTACTCGAGCTTGCTAGCCAGCTGTTTCGCCTCCTTTGTGCTGGGTGGGGCTGCCACTCTAGGGTGCCAGCGGTGGCCTAATGGACCTGCGCGAGCTGGCAGTGGCGGTGGCAGGTGTGCCCACAGAGAGGGCTCTGAGTGCCGCCTCTGGCACATGTGCCATAGGTTCGCCATCACTGCCCTATACCATTTCGGACAAATACCTGTCCGGTTTCTTCTTAAAAACTTCCAGTGTTGCCGCATTCACCGCTTCTGGAGGCAGGTTGTTCCACTGGTTAATTGTTCTAACTGTCAGGAAGTTTCTCCTTAGTTCTAGGTTGTTTCTCTCTTTGGTTAGTTTCCACCCATTGCTCCTTGTCCTGCCTTCAGGTGCTTTGGAAAATAGCTCGACTCCCTCTTCTTTGTGGCAGCCCCTGAGATATTGGAACACTGCTATCATGTCCCCCCTCATCCTTCTCTTTGTTAAACTAGACATACCCAATTCCAGCAACCGTTCCTTATATGTTTTAGCCTCCAGTCACCTAATCATCTTTGTTTCTCTTCTCTGTACTCTTTCTAGAGTCTCAACATCTTTTTTACATCGTGGTGACCAAAACTGGATGCAGTATTCCAAGTGTGGCCTTAGCAAGGCATTGTAAAGTGGTATTAACTCTTCACGTGATGTTGATTCTATCCCTCTGTTAATGTAGCCTAGTCCTGTGTTGGCTTTTTTGGCAGCTGCAGCACACTGCTGGCTCATATTTAAATGATTGTCCACTAGGACTCCGAGATCCTTCTCACAGTTACTACTATTAAGCAAGGTACCCCCTATACTATACCTGTACATTTGGTTTTTCTTGCCTAAACATAGAACCTTACTTTTTTCACCATTGAATTTCATTTTGTTAGATAGTGCCCAGTGTTCAAGTCTGTCCAGATCCTCCTGTATCCTAAGCCTGTCTTCTGGAGTGTTGGCTATTCCTGCCAGCTTGGTGTCGTCTGCAAATTTGATGAGTTCCCCATCTATCCCCTCGTCCAAATCATGAAGATGTTGAAGAGCACTGGGCCCAGAACAGAGCCCTGGGGCACCCCACTGCACACTTTCCTTCATGTAGGTGCGGTTCCATTGAGGACCACACACTGAGTACAGCCGGTCAGCCAGCTACGGATCCATCTGGTGGTGCTGCTGTCTAACCCGCATTTTTCTATCTTCTCAAGTAGTAGGTTGTGGTCTACTTTGTTAAATGCCTTACTGAAGTCCAAGTAAATTATATCCACAGCATTCCTCTGGTCCACTAATTTTGTCACTTAGTCAAAGAATGCAATAAGATTTGTCTGGCATGATCTGTTTTTGACAAACCCGTGTTGGCTTTTAGTAATGACTTTGTTTCCCTCTAGGTGTTCGCTGATTCGTTGTTTGATTATCTTTTCCAGAATCTTCCCAGGTATTGAGGTCAGGCTGATAGGTCTGTAATTTCCTGGGTCCTTTTTTCCCCCTTTTTTGAAGATGGGAACTACATCAGCTCTTTTCCAGTCCTCTGGTAGTTCCCCAGTACTCCAGGATCTTTGAAAAATATAGTTCAGTGGTTCTGAGATCACATCTGCCAGTTCCTTAAGAAGCTAGGGGTGTAATCCATCTGGTCCTGGTGATTTGAACTCGTCTAGGCTGGACAGGTGTTCACTTACCATTTTCTTGCCTATCTTAACTTGTATTTCTGTTTTGTTTTTTATGGCACTAGTTTTGATAGGTTGGTCTGTTTTTTCCCTTTGTGTAAAGACAGATGCGAAAAACGAGTTAAATAGTTCTGCTTTCTCCCTGTTGCTTGTCACCTTCTTGCCACTTTCACCCACTAATGGACCAATCGTTTCCTTCACTTTTTTCTTATTTTTTACATGTTGAAAGAAGCTTTTTTTTGTTATTTTTGACTTTGGTTGCAAGCCTTAGTTCATTTTGAGCCTTAGCTTTCCTCACTTCGTCTTTGCAGGCTTGGGCTATTTGCTGATATTCT